CTTCGTTTTTTTCTTTTTTGCTCGACAACTTTCCCCTGGCTCCTCGTGCTGGACCCGCTGCTATCTTGGCTCGTCGCCCAGAACGGGTTGGCCACCCTGGCCCTAGAGCGCAGTGTCTGGGACCTACACAGGCAAGCATTGGAAAGGCTGCTACTAATCCCAGCACAGGGCTCTGTGCCCTTCCCTGGCCCTCGCTCACGCAGCACCCCCCCAGGCCCGAGGCCGTGGCTGCCGCAGAACGTGGTGCAGCTTTAGCTGTGCAGGCAGGGGTTTAAGTAGCACCGCCCTCCCGGCGTGGAGAGCTGGGCCAGTCCACGGGTGCTTTGTACCACTGTCGCCAGCACAGCAACCAGGATAAAAGAGCCACCCCCCAGCCACCCTAGTTCCAGCAGGACAGGCCGCCAGGGGACGGTAACAGACGACTGGCCAGGGAAGCAGCCCAGGGGGAGGGGGTAGCAGATGGAGGGAGGGAGGTACATCTCTCTTTAGGCCCGCCATGGCCCTGCTCCATCGCAGGGAGGGACTGTCGTGACAAGACGGTCTCCGGGACAGGGTGGTTGTGCTCACTGCGCTTGCCTGCCAAGCGTTTGCGGGGTGCTTTGATGGGGTGCAGAGGAGCGCACGGCTCTCCCACTCAGCAGTGGGTGCAACCGGCACCCACCTCGCGCCACGTGCCCTTGCGTGATGTGCGGGTCACTTTCGTAACACGGGTAGGGAAAAAAGCAACGTGGACGGAAACCAGCAGGATCTGGCACCCTTGCGCATGGGCAACGGGGAACACAGAGCCCCGGGGGCCGCGTGTGGACCCCAGAACTGCTGGGGTGAGATTCTTGGCGCTAACTCCGGAGAGTCCGGTTACCAGGGGACTGCCCAGTCCTGCTCTGACCGTCCCTACAGACACCATGGTGCAGAGCGCCACGACAAACACACGCCAGCTACCAGACCGGGGCAGACCCAGCGTGTTCCCACCAAAGGGGACTGCCTGGCCACGCGGCATAGCTCAGCCCTAGCTCGGCTGGCGCAACACGGGATGTTAGTCTGGGCTGCTTTGGCTTGATTTACTGACGACCCCCCCACTCGTACAAAGTGTAACAGACACCGGAAGGGAGTCTCTGCGTACTCCTACGCCGGGGACTGCTCCCCACTCGCACCCCAAATAAAAGCTCCTGAAATGCAGAGTCCAGAGAGCAGCTGGGCCCCCCCCCTACAGCAGGACACAGTTGGAGCTGGGGGGTGTACCAGGTAAAAGAGGAGCACGCCCACAACGGCCCCAGTCCGGGCTGCGCTCAGCTCAGAAATCTGAAAGGGGGGTGCGAGACACAGGGACCAGCCAGGCAGGGGGAGGAACAACGCTCCTGGCAGTGGTGACAGACACAGCCCACCCGGTGTATCCAGAGAGCAGGGTCCGTGTCAGACACCCGCTGCCACGCCACCAGACAACGCTAAGAGCACACCTAGCTCCACTCCCCAGGCTGGGCCGGGCAAAGGCGGGCATGGGATGGTGCTAATGCTGGGGCAGGCTGCCTGCTCTGGCCTCCTGCCCGCTGGGCCCAAGTGCATCGTGGAAACCGGTTAGCACAGACAAACCCCACGGTTCTCAGACAGCAGCCAGCTGCCTCCATTCCCAGCTCAGCCGCCGCCCCCCGCCCTGTGCCGCCCCGCCGGAGAAGCAGCCCCCACACACGTCAGAGCAAAGCAAAGCAACGAAGCCCCTTTCCTTGCCTGAGCGGGAGCAGAGTTGGAAAAGGTGTCACTTACGGGCCGGACTTCGCCGTTGGTGTTGGTGTACTGCCGGGCCAGGCCGAAGTCCAGCATGTAGCACTTCCTGTAGGTTGAAGGCAGGCGACCCATCGCAAAGTTGGACTGGCCAAAAGGGAACAGAATAAACAAATGGCTGCTGCTCTCCGGACAAGCCGCAGCGCTCTCCCGGCCCCCACACCAACAGACCCCCCTCCCCGCAGGAACACGCTGCACGCGAAGGCAGCCCTGCTAGCTCGCGGGTTGTTGGCTGACGTGTTTGGTTCCCCCGGACAGAGGCTCCAAGTGTCGTCTCCAGGAGGAGCGAAGCAACCCCGCAGGGAAGGGGGGTCCCGGCTCCCCCATCTCGGACTCAGCGGGCAGAGAGGTGGCTACGGATTATCCAGAGAGGCTGTGAAACCCACGTGGGTGTTCTCTCGGCCACACTTCAGCAGATCTGGGAAACATTCGGACTCCACACCCTTCGCTCGGTGGAGAACAGGGAGCAGCCGCACTGAGGCGGGGTTGCTATGGGCAGGAAGCAGGGGCTGTTCTTTATGGTGTAGTCACAGTGGCATATTGCGGGCACAACGCTCCGCCATGCTGGCTCTGAGACTTGGGCAGGTGGGCTGCAGAGCAGAAACCCCTGCAGAAGGCCCCAGGTCGGGGGGCGCGGCTATGGAGCGTGCTGTACCCACTGGGAAGAATTCAAACTGAACCCCTGAGACAAAGGCCCGGCCCTGACTCTGGGGGGTGTTACTCCTGCCGGGGCAGAGGAGATGGCCCATCATCTTTTTGCCTCGTTGGCTCTGAGACTTGGGCAGGTGGGCTGCAGAGCAGAAACCCCTGCAGAAGGCCCCAGGTCGGGGGGCGCGGCTATGGAGCGTGCTGTACCCACTGGGAAGAATTCAAACTGAACCCCTGAGACAAAGGCCCGGCCCTGACTCTGGGGGGTGTTACTCCTGCCGGGGCAGAGGAGATGGCCCATCATCTTTTTGCCTCGTGCCTGCGCTCGGCAACCAGAACGCCCCAGAAGCCAACACGGGGGTCAGCGTGCCTCCAGCCTGTCGGCCCAGCGCCTCACATGCTCAACCGACACGCAGACCCCCCCGCCGGTTAAACCATGGCTCAGGACGGGAGCAAAGGCCGATGCGTGATGTGACCCCGGTGGGGGACACAGAACCGTGCCTGTTCGGAGCCGCGGGAAAGCTGCTCAGCGGGGGAACAGTCGGCGGCAGCCTGCCTCCAGACTCAGATCGGGGGGGCAAAAGGGAGCTGCATGACGGCGAAGCCACGGCCCCACTGTGCAGTGAACTCTCCTAGCAGAGCGATGGCTGGAGAATGCATCACTCTACGCCCCGCTCACGTGTCGGTGGGGGCAACCCAGTCGCTCTGCCCAGACTGCCACCGTCCCCGTCCCAGGCATGACTGTCAGCTCAGCCTGAAAGCGGAGCAACCCCCGGAGAGCCACCTACCGGCTTGATATCGCGGTGCAGGAATCCCACCGAGTGAATGGCTTCGATGGACTCTAGAATCTGCTTGCCCAGGCGCAGGGTTGTGCTCAGCGTAAAAGTCCCCCGAGGCTGGCTTCTTCGGAGGTCTGCGAGGTTCCGGCCCTGCAACAGCGAATGCAGCCTGTAGCCCCCGCACCGCACACGTCCCCTTGGCCGAGAACGCCCGCCAGCCCTGGGCTTGCCCCGGCCAGAGGGGTGCACGCCCAGGTCAGCGAGGGCGAGTCTCCTCGATTCATGCCCCAGGGAATGACTTGCCGATAAGAGGTACCAGACGGGCAGCCCCCGAAGATGAAGGACCCATTTATTTACCTCACAGCAGGCCTAGGAAGGACAGTAGCGGGGTGGGCTCACACAGACACACCACCCCTCACACAGAGTGCTGAATACAAATGGTTCCCACTTCGGCGTCACGACCGACGCAGCCCGTGGCTGGGAGCTCCACAGAAAAGCCACCGAGGGCAGTCGATAAACCAAGCACTGGTCGGCTGTTAATGCCTTTTGGAACCTGTGCACCACAACCCCCAGACCCTAGGTGTGAACTTGACGTGAGGGTTCTCCTGCGCGTTCCGTCCCAGCAACGCTAGCACCGACCAACAGGCCGCAGGCCTGAGATTGCTCCTGGAGAGATGTGTCTACTGAGTAAGTGGCAATGTAACCTCCTCCTCAGCTGGTTTCTGAGGCGAAGAAAAGGCCGAATGCTCAGTGACAGTCATGTAAACACACAGGTGAGATCTGGGGGACAGGCCTCAGGGAGCCCCCAGAAAGGGTCTGCTTTCTTCTCGTGTGGAGTCTGCCGGAAGTCACAGGCCTTGGCTCTCCCGCTCCCCCCGTCCCTCTGTCCTGCCCTCAGTCACGCCTGCCCTCATACTGCCTCGCCGCCCCCCAGCGAGAACAGTTCCCTTCGCTCTGTCACAATCACGTCTCCTGTATCCGGTATCTCTCGCCACGCAGTCACACCCCCAGCCATGCCCCCACCTTCCCTCTCCACCAGGCCGCAGGGCTGCGGTTTGGCTTTGCCTCTTTCCGGTCTGTGCCATGGGCCTCTGCACATGCAACCTGAACTCACCATTACACCTTGCCTGCCCTAGCACAGTGCAAGCTCCTACCCACCAGCTGTTCTGCTCACCAGCTTGGTCTGTTACCTATGTGACGGGTTCGATCACAGAAACCCCTGGGGGTTGTTCTCTGGTGTGCGGATCAAGCCACCAACACCCATCTTCCTGCCTTCTGGGCCTCCCTGCTGGGCCAGAAGCTCTGGTCTCCCCCAGACAAGGCACAGAGATGGGGTAACAGCCCCCAACAGAGAAACACAGACACTGAACCAGCTCAGCTCTGGAAGGACTCAGCAAAAAGGCCTTTGACAAGCCCCAGGAACACAACCCCCAAACAGGCCAAACCCCCAAATAAATCCGCCTTACTCTGTGTAAAAGTTTTACACATAGAAAGCTCGTGAAGATGTTCACCTCCTTTGCCAATGAAAGAGAGATATGCACAGTGGTTGCTCCTTCTCCCCCCATCCCCCACTCCCCCCGATCAGCAGCCCAGCTGGGCTGGCTCGGCTGGGCTAGCCAGGGTTAGCAGGCAGGAACGTCTGCCACGGAGAGCAGCAGAAGCGACTCAGGATGGCTGCCGGAAGAGACCAGCAAGGTTAGACGCTGCTGGTTGTTCAGCACCTGCGGACAGCAGTCCCAGGCGGGTTCGCTGGGGCACGTGGAGCAGCCAGGGAGGTATATTTACAGCCCAGCCTCGGCGGATTTCCCTGCCCATTCGAAACGGCCTTGTCAATTGCATTCCGAGTGATGGGAGATTGCCCCAGGTGGAAAAGGTGCTGGCTGTGGCCAGCACCACGAGGAAGACACAGACGGACAGGCCGGCAGGGAAGAATTACACTTTAAAAGACGGGTCTTTTGGAGGGACCCGGCTACGAAAGGAGCACGTTCTCTCTGCATAGCATTGACCTTTGCCTCTGACCATATGCTCCCTTCGAAGGCTGGTGGAAACACAATTTTGCTGCCTGCCGGTGTGCTGGCCCGGCTATTCGATAACACACGGCCGCATAGCGCATCTCAGCAGCCTGTGCCACGCCCACTGTGCTCCATCTACCGGGGCAGCCACCATCACTTGCTTTTCCGCTCCCCCTCGCCCAGCCCCCAAGCGCCTAGGCCCCTCTCCCACGCTGCCCCATAAGCACGACACCCCCTGCCCTAATTCATTCCCGCAGCCTCTTTCTCCGACTTTCTGTTCCCTTCCCCGCCCACCTCTGCTGCCAGGCCAGCTGGAAAGCTGTCCAACGCGACCGGCGAGGC